GATGTTTGGGAAAGGAAAAAATATTAAATCAAAAATTAATAAATTAACTAATCAACATAAAAAAATAGTAAGAATGAGATGAAAAATGAAAACAATTAAAAATATCTTAATAATAAAAAAAATTAAACTGTGCGAAAATCTTACATTTAAAACAGCAATGAATAAAATAATGATTAAAAAGCCAAAAGAATCCTAGCCGTCGTGTAAAAACAAATGTGTGACGCGGTTTTCATGTCAAAGCGCATGCGCAGACTTCAGCCTTATGACATCAATGGTGCAAATAAGTCAAAGGGACAAAGAGGGTTTCAAACAAGGAGGTTAGAATAGAAGGAGGGAGGGTTCGCAGTTTCCTCCACTATCGGGGAATGAAACTCTACCGAACAAGCGGCGTCCATGTTTGTAACTTCAAAACATTGCGTTACAGCGGTGAAACGTACGTGTTTTTAAGCTGTTCCGTGCATGTATTTTCCACTAAAAATATGTAAAATTTATAATGAAATGCTTCGCTATTGTTAGTTTTTTGTTTTAAAGTTATAAAGATGATATCCGTAATTTATTACGTACAGAAAATCATTAAGAAATAGTTCGAAATCTAAATGCATGTGCATAATATTAAAGCCTTTAAAAATAATTTTTCTGCATATTTCAAGAATTTGTTTAGCTTTTACTAGCAACCTGAAATTAATAGCAGATAATTATCTAAAAAAAATAGTCACAGGTTGCATTTTTTTTTTAAATGAAACTTTTAAATAGATTCTTTTCACAACCAACAACCTTATAACAACAAGAAAATAAATATTAATAAAATTAAACAAATTTATGTGAATTCAGTGATTTCAGTTTATCCGCGTTTCATATTTATGAATCTCAAAGAAATTGCCTTGAATTAAGTTCAATTATACCTATATTTTTGGATACATCTTTCCACATGCTCAGTTGTGTAAATATTTTACTTACAAATTTATGAAAAAAAAAATTAGCAACAGAAAAGTTAGATTATCTTGATCAAATGCACAAATTATATTCCTAACAGTTCACAAAACTTAAAAATAAATAATAATTAATACATAAAGAAAAGCATTACTTTGTTTAACACCCTTATAATTCATAAAATTAGTAACAATTGGTGTCTTACTTTTCATGAAAATTATTAAACGAATTACCTAAAACGTTCAAATTATACAGTTTCAATCCTAGCATACATCATTGTATGTTAACGAACAAAGATGCCAGCTATAAACAGAAACATTAAAATGTATTTAACATATTTTGATTATTATTAACTCCTTTTTTTTCACATCTGGAAAGAAACAACATGGCATTGTGATATTTTTTACCTAAGTTATCAAATTACATAAAAAAAAAAAAGGAAACCAATACTTACGCGTGAATAGTAATCCCAGGAATCTTTTTCGAAATCTGTTTGTGCATCCATATACAACACAAGCTCAAATCCTTCAAAAAGAAAAGAAAAAAAAATATTGCAGTTACAGAATTCCCTGCACAAGTCACAGCGATAACAGGAACATGGCCGCCAAGCTTCACCGTTTGAGTTGAACCTTCCCTCCCTCTATTCTAACCTCCTTGGTTTCAAATAACAAGTCTGATAAGACCACCGGGTAGCTGTGTGGTAACGTTCAGGTCTTTCATCTCAGAGATGGCGGCTTCGAATCCCGCTGGTGGAGTTATTTTTAAAATTCAGGGAAAATAATATTAAATTGAATAACAATTAATTAAAGGTAATTAAAATAATGACATACTAAATAATTAAAATACTTATTAAAAAGAGTAAATAATTAATATTAATAAAGTGTTAAATAATTAAAAAAGCGTAAAATAAATAATTAAAAATAATAAATTAAAAGTGATGTCATTCCAAACACGTGGTTCAAGATACCGTTGTCACAAAAACAAAAAGAAATTGTCCTTGCCACAAAAAATAAAAACTTTGAAAAATAGGATCATTGCCACAGAATCAAAACGAAACTATGCATGATTACATCATTCCATCACGTGATACAAGATGGCGCTGGTGTCGTCACTTCCAGAGGAATTCAAAATGGCGGAGGCCACGCCCCCTTTTCTGTGACGTCACTTCCGCCTACTGAGTACCTGTGATTACTACTAACATCTGACACAAAAAAACGAGACTGGTCCAATAAATCATTGTACTTACACAAGCAGTTCTCCGTGACATTATCACCTTCAAAGCAGTTCCCTTCGGCATTCACACACTTCTGCATTCGATGCTGCCATTACTGGTAAAAGTTCTGGAAAGAGGCTTTTGGAAGGTCCTTCAGGAGATTCTCCATTTTTGCTTGAACCTCTTCAGCTGAAGTAAAATTTGTTCCCTTTAACCCTTTATGTCTCAAATTACCTTATTTTTTTTAAAAAGTTTGTAAGTTTTTTATTATATTCCTTTGTACATGAGATATAGCTCACATTAAACTTACAAAAATGTTACAAGTTTTTCATTGCTTTTTTTTTTCTAATTGGGGCTTAAAATTCCCATTGGGACACAAATGAGTGATTTTATTGCTGGGACTTGGGAAAATCCCGTGGGGTAAATAAAGAGTTAAGTAAGATTTAACTTTAGGAATTAGAAAAGTAGCGTGGAGCCAAATCTGTTGAATAAGGAGGATGGTCCATCACAGTAATGTTTTTGCTGGTCAGAATCTCTGCTTGACAGATAGGGCCGTGTGAGCTGGTGCATTGTCCTGGTGCAACAGCCATCCATCACTCCACAACTGTTGCCTTTTTTTTCCTAAATTTTTCACTTATTTTTAATGTCTTTTTAGTACTTCAATGTAGTAGTATTGATTAACAGTTTGACCACTGAGAACCGATTCAATCATGATGAATTGGGCGCCCAGCACGTTCGTCATATTCCACACTGTCCCTTCCCTCTGAAAACCGCTTATGCCATTCAAACACACGTGTATGAGACAATATTTCCTCCGTCGCTGATTTCTAAAGTTTCACTAGAGACTTAATGTTGATTCGCTATTTGATTTTTATATCAGACATTTTTCCGGCAGAATGCAGTTGCATGTGTTCGTTCACTGATGTAGTACTCCTCACTGGCCTGGTCGGTTAAGTCTAGAGCTACTAGGCTTTATAGATGCCTTAGTTACCCTTTATAGTAGCATTAGTTAAATCGAAACTGGCCGCATGGATAGAGAAAGTGTGGGTCATGACGTCCCCAAAAGAGTTATTGCCAAATCCACTTTGTTTTCAAGCAACACAGTCTCGTTTTTTGTTTTGTGTTAACTTCGTATTTGGTGCGATACCAAATATACTTTTACATATAAATACTTTTGGTACTGCCGATTGCAGTACAAAAGAGAAGTGCACAACCAGATATTATGGCAGTCTCCTCTACAAAATTGCAACGTTCTGCGACTAATCATTTTTGAGTTATGTGAGGTAACAGAAGTCATGAAAAAAATTCATTTTGAATCCGTTTGAAATCCATTTTGGAAAAAAAAAAGAGTCTTTTATTCTGTCTGTACGTACGTGTCTGCCGGTCAAGTAAAAAAAGAGTAAAAAGGGGTATTTCATTTGAACTTTTTTTATGGCTTGTATTTTTAGGCTTTCGCCACTACTAAGCCGGAAGAGGTGGGCTTTTTATTAGGGAGATGCCTTAGAGGCAGCCACCGTTAGCATATTTCACAAGTGCACATCAACGTAGCCACTGAGAGAGGGAGTTTTTGAAAATGGACCAATGAGCAGCTATTTCTCTTGTGACTAAATCTTCGTGCATGTGAGCATATGTTGTTTATGTTGTAATTTGCATTTGTTTCGCAGTCATAAATATATGGCATAATAGTAGAAATCTTGTAGTGCTTTTGTTTTCTGAGTTTAATTAATCGCTGACATTTAACTTTTGCGATTTTTATCACACATTAATATTTGGATTGAATTTGACGGCATATTATGTGGATTAAGAGATTTCAAGTGTACATTTTTTTAATTGAGCTGAGAATGACTACAATCAATACAATGAATGTTGCAATGAATCTAGTGTTTTCTTACCTTAGTGCTAGCATTCTTTGGATTTTTAAGTCGTAAGATTCAGAATACATATGATCTGATTATATCCATTGCTAACATTAAAAGTTATATGTAAATAAATTGAATATATTCGCTGTGAATAAGATAAGTTCACTCTGTTTGATGAGTATTTTTTGTGTAGACAGTACATTTAAGAGTCAGCAGTTATTAAATGTAAAATTTAAAACACTAAATGTATACGAATGCAAATTAGTAAAGTCACTTGGAATAAAATTCTGCATTGGTTATTATTATAGAACATCTTTTTCATATAGACTGCAATAAAAAGTGCTGACTTCTATTTAATATGTATAAGTGGTGTAAATAGTTTTCTCATACGCATAGTTTTATGTAAAGATTTCATTTGGGCTCAGATGTTTATCACATATTTCTTCCTTAATCTTATTTACCACTTATTAAGTAATATTTCACATTGATATTTTTGCGAAGTATCTAACATGTATTTGTATTTATTTCAACCAGGTAGTGAAATCTTCAAAATTGCCTATATTTGATCTAACTTTGCAATGAAAAGTTTCAGAAGCAATCGACGATTGTTACGAGACTCTACCTGAATTTTGTTCATTCAGTCGGTACTCCATTAAAAGAAACGTAAAGAGAAATTATAATTAAGTAATACTGGCAATCCACCCAATTAATTCACTGTAAAACAGGCAATCCACCTTAATTAATTCACTATAAAACAGGCAATCCACCTTAATGCAATGTCAGGGTGCATGCTTTATTCTAAAAACATAAAAACGATACAATGTTTCCAAACCGTAAAAATTTAACCTTTAAAGAAATTACATTTATACAATCGTTGAGTTCCTCGCGACATCTCCTCCCACCTTTTGATTTATGGTGGGCGGAACATAAATCAAAATACAATATACTTAATAACGAGGCTAAAGAATACTTAGTATAATGATAAAAGGAAAGAAAAACTAATTAAAACGCGAAGGTTTTACAATAGTTCTACCACATCTAGTTTTAATTATCTTATCAGGAGGTTTAAAGTTAATTTCTTTACTAGCAGGAATGTTAAATTGGTTTTGTTTAGGTAAAAACAAGTTCTCATCGTCCATCATTTCCAAAGGATACAGTCGTTGCACAGGAAGGCTCAATTCACCTGCAGCTGTTTTCACCTTTGCCACTCTAACACAATTATCTTGACTCTGGAATAGTTCAATAACTCGACCCAATGGCCAGTCCAATCTTTTTTTGTTGTCGCTTCCCACATGTACCACATCTCCTAAATATATTTGTCTTCGAGTAGCTTTATTATCTCCTGACTGAATTAGGAGACTCAAATATTCGTCTCTAAACCTTTTTCTGAGATCTTGTCGTAATTTCTGTTGATATCTATATCTGTTAGTGATATTGACTTCATCTATATGGTCTAAGTCTGGAACTCCCACCGTTCTTATATCCTGAGTGAACATAGAGGGTGTTAAAGACATTAAACCTTCAGGATCTTCAGACAAATAATTTAACGGCTTTACGTTGATTACAGCTTCCGTATCGCAGAGAATGGTACACAGCTCCTCATATCTCAAGCAGGCTCTTCCTAATATTCTTCTCAAAATTTTCTTAACCATCTGAATAATACGCTCCCACCCACCCCCCACCACCACCACGCAGCTGTGGAGGGGATTGAACTTCCATGTAATCTTCAAAATAGAACATTCTTGAAAGATATAATTTTGAAAGAAAGAGGCTGTTAGTCCCAACAAAGTTCGTACCATTGTCACTATACATAGTTTTTGGTCGTCCACGTCTGGCTATGAACCTCCTGAAGCCCAACAAAAAAATCTTCAGTGGAAAGTCCTTTTATCAGTTCAAGATGTATGGCCCTATTAACAGCACAGGTGAAGAAAAGTATCCAGCTTTTCTTTCCATCCTTTAGATAAAGAGGTCCAGATAAGTCTACTCCAGTTACTTCAAAAACCAGAGCGTCTCGGACCCTATCTTCAGGCAGTGGGGCTGGAACTGTTCCTATTTTTTTTTTTTTTTTTTGCATTATATCTTTTGCATCGAATGCATTTTGCGATTACCCTTTGAATTGCTTTGCGTTCTCTTAAAATCCAAAACCGTTGACGAATATCCGTCAAAACAAATTGAACTCCAGCGTGTAAAAGTACTGTATGTCTTTCGAAAATTAACTTTTCTACAATTTGATGATCAGAAGGTAAAAGTATGGGACACACGAAATAATCTGTATCATCTCTTCTAAAGGATTTTGTCTTCAGTCTCATTAAACCTTCTTTATCAGTGTAAAATGCAAAGAGTTTTCAACTTTGATTTTGTAGATTCGTTTTAGAAAGATTCTTTCTGAACAATTAAGAAAAAGCCTTTTCCCAGCTGCTTCTACTTTCCTGAACAGATAATTCTTCCTTCAGTTTGTGATCGGAATTTCTAGAATTATGAAAGAATCGCAGAATCCAAGCTATCAGCTACGAATGATTCTCGAATATTTAGAAAAACGGTGCAAGTACCATTTTTCGTTAGGAGCAATTGAGGTATAGCTAAGGCAGTTATTCCCTTTTTTTCTTTCCTTAGAAACGTATTCCATATTTAATTTAATTTCAGAGACGGGCCAAATTTTCTTCAGGCTGTTTAAGCCACGGTGGACCCTCCCATCCATCTGGATCTGAGCAGAAACTCCAGCGGTAACATCCTCTGGATGGGAGATCAGCCGGATTGTCGCTTCCTGGAATATGCTTCCATTGTTCCTTTGATGTTAAATTTCTTATCTCCTTCACTCGATTATGTACAAATGTTCCCCAGTTATCTTCATGCTTGATCCAGAATATAACGGTAGAGGAGTCAGTCCAACAGGTACTTGATATTTCCCTTTTAAATCCATCGCTTCTTTCACTGTTGCAGTGAGACGAGCTCCGATCAAGCATGCTAACAATTCTAATCGAGGGCATCGTTATCTTTGTTAAAGGAGCCACTCTACTTTTAGCTTCAATCAAATGAACTTTTACCCCTTTCTTACATTTGCTTCGTAGAAATACGATTGCGCTATAGGCGGAATTGCTCGCATCACAAAAAGTATGAAAACTCAATTTTTCTTCCGGGTCATTGCTTTGGATATATCTTGGAATTTTGATCTCTATTAACAGATGTAAATCTTCAAGCCATTTATTGAACTCAAGGCGAATATCTTCTGGACAGGTTTCATCCCAACCAATCTTCAGGTTCCAGCTATTCTGTATTAACAGTTTCAAACGAATCGCGACTGGACACAGAATTCCTATAGGATCGAAGATGCTGTGAACTGTCGAAAGAATATATCCTTCTAGTAATGGGTTTTTGCTTGAAATCAATTTTTTCAAGATCACAAAACAGAACAACAGAACATCTTTAGTTTTATCCCATAATAATCCAAGAACAGGGACAAGTTTTTTTTTTTTTTTTTTTTTTTTTGACATTCTTCACCTGTTAGACTGGAATCTGTAGCCGAATCTGTCCCAACCAGATCTTAAATCGAAACAACCCGTAGCCAGAATCTGTTTTGCTTCAAAAATGAATTTTTTAAGTTCATCTTGACTAGTTACCGAAGTTTGCAGTTATCCACATAGAATGCATTCCTCAGCTTTTCTACCGTTTCAAGAAAATAGCTTTCATTTTGTCCCAAAGGGTAATCTAGAACAACAGCTAGCAAGAAAGGGCTCTCGTAAGTCCAAACACTACTCGTCGGTGACGATAAATTTTTTGTTTTCTTTCCTTATAATCTTCCCACCATATGAATCTAAGAAAATCTTGGTCTTTTTTGGCCACAGATATCTGTAAAAAGGCATTTTTTATATCCGAAACTACACCAATTTCTTTCTGACGAAATCTCATAAGTAATGGAGGAATTTTTTTGATAAGATTTGGTCCTGTTTCTAGACAGTCGTTGAGCGAAAGTGAATTCTTACTTCTACACGAAGCATAAAATACAGGGTGTACCTTCATAGTAGAATTTCCTTTAAAAAGACCTCTATGAGGCAAATAATGACAAGGATTTCCCGATTCACTATCTGGTACTTCTTCGATGATAGTTTCCTGTAACCATTCCTTAAATACAGCTTCATAGTCATCGTATTTTCCTTCTTTAAGAAGTTCCTGAGTAGTAGTTATGCATCTTTTTTCAGCTATATCTTTGTTTTCACTTAACGTCTCGTACGTCTTTAACCAAGGTAGTTTGACGATGTAACGGCCATTTTCATTTCTCTGGACGTTTTTCGAAAATACTGAAGAATGGACTGTTCCGTTTCTTCTTTAGTTCTTATTTCAGTAGGATCCTTTATACCTATAGTATCTAATTTCCTCAAATCAGCCACAGAAGAATTTTTAATCTGTAAAGATGTCACTAAGAGGGATGAAGTTTCGTCAAACTTTTCTTCGGACATGTTTCCCATGATAACCCATCTTAAATAAGTTACACATGCAATCAAATTGGATTTCAATGTACATATTTGTACGTATCCAAATGATCAAAAGGTTGTTGATGCTTGTTCCTTGATCTATTGCACCAAGATATTTTACTGTACATTTATTTACAATTTATTTACAAGTCGTATGCCACCTGGCATGTTTACAAGCGTTATGTCTCCTGGCATGTACATGATAGACATATTCTGCCACCTGGCATGTGAATTGATACATCATACTAGTTTTCTGCCACCTGACAGATACGATGCAATTACCTCAATTAGCGGTAATACGCCCGACATTTTGGCGTGTCCGCTTCCCTTACGTTCTGTAACGCAACTAACTTTTTGTGCGGTGCGCCCTCTGGGCACAAATCACCGCAATCACCGAGGAGGCCAAAACATCCTCCCCCCGATGAATTACATTCATCTTAATACAATCTTCAATATATGCAAACAAGTAAATGAAAAATATAGAAACTGAAAACATACAAAAACCTTCAAAAAGTATAAAATTACATGTTACACTTACCAATCTTCTAGCAAAACATCTTATATCTTACTATATTGAAACGTTAACTATGAGGGTTAAACTAGAACAAAAAATAAAATTATTAGTACAATAAGAAATGAAAATAATAATAAAACATATTCAATATGAAACCAAACACTTAAGTTAATGTTCTTCAACTGGTAAAAGACACAGTTTGGTAATAGGACGTTTAATGTCCCCGTGCACAGTTTTTAGTCTAACCACTCGGACATTATTGTCTCTTCCAGGAAACACTTCTATTACTCGCCCGAGTTTCCAACGTAATGAAGGCATATTATCTTCTTTAATGAGAACCAAGTCATTTAGACGAATATTTCTGCTAGGCTGTCTCCATTTGCTACGCTGCTGTAGTTGGCACAGGTACTCTTTAGACCACCGCTTCCAAAACCCTTGGAACATCTGCTGTGTTAGTTAGTTGCCATCTTTGCAATGGAGACACTCGTACTTCGGTTAAATCTTGTTCCGGAACAGCTGTTAAAGAAGTCCCTATAATAAAGTGTCCAGGAGTCAAAGCTGTCAAATCATTGGGATCACTGGAGACCGGTGTTATTGGCCTCGAATTTAAGCATGCTTCAATTTGTGCAATTAGAGTTAGAAACTCTTCATAAGTCAAAATTTGAGTTCCAACACATTTCTTTAGATGCAGCTTCATAGATCTAACAGCTGCCTCCCATATACCACCATGATGTGGAGCAGCTGGCGGGTTGAATATCCACCTTATGTTTTCATTTGCTAACCACCTTTGAAATTCTGAGGTTGACTGGACAGATGAAACTGCTTCCTTGAGGATTTTATTTGAACCTATAGTTCCACAATCACTTCTTATTTCTTGAGGTTTTCCTCTCCTCGAAGCAAATCGTTTTAGAGCAGCTAGGAATGCTTCACTTGATAAGTCGCTAGCAATCTCTAAATGGATAGCCTTTGTAGCTAAACAAACGAAAAATACAGACATAACATTTAATTGGTCTTATACCTCTTCCCCTTTTCATTTTCACAGAAAATGGGCCGGCATAATCAACGCCAACCTTTGAAAAGGTTCTACTTGGAATCACTCTACTTGCAGGTAGTTCTCCCATTAATTGAATAGATGTTACTGCTCGTACTTCTGCAACATTTTATGCATTTTTAATTTCATTCTTTGCACTTATTATCCAGTATTTCTGTCTTATTGCGGATAACATTAAATGCAACCCTCCGTGTAAATGTTTTTCGTGATAATGCTGTATTATTAATTTTGTGAAGTGATTATTATTTGGCAATATAATGGGATGTTTACTTTCTCTGGTAATTTCTGCGTTTCTTAATCTACCTCCTACTCTTAAAATTTCGTTTTCATCTAGAAATGGATTAAGTGAAATGATTTTGCTTTTAGTTTTAATCGGTTGTTCTGTCTTTAAAGCCTTAATTTCTTCTGAAAATTCATTAAGTTGAACATTTCTTATAATAAATTCTGAAGCCTTCCGTAACTCATAGGCGGTAAGCACACCAGATTGCTTTTCACGAGCGGATTTACAGTTGTTCACAAAGCGCAGAACATAAGCCATTATTCCCAGTACTTTGGTTAAATTTCCGTACAGTTCAAGATTTAGTAACGGTTCTGTAGATTCCACAAGTGTTTTCAAAG